ATTTCGAAAGGCAAGAATTGGAAACATCCTAAATGTCTCATAGGGTGGACTCGTCAGTATTTCTGTCTTGTGGACTTGGTCACGAGGGTTCATTGGCTCTTGTCCCTGGGAGTTGTTGAAACAAGCTTTAGGTTGAGATGGATTCGGGCTTGCAGGATATCTTTATTTTCTCCCTATCCTGGCTTTGCCTTTCTCTGCAGGGGCATCCTTCTCCCAGGGACACACAGATGACATCCGCAGCCCTCGACTTCCACCCTGCCAGCTTGGTGACTGTAGCAGAGACACCGTGACCCCAAAAGTAGCTCTGACTAGTCTTAGAGCAGCTGTGATTGGCGGGACTTGGATCATACCCCCATTTTTCAAATGAGCCATGGTCAGGGAGAGTCCTCTGTATCATATGCCCATCCTTGGAAGAGGATAGAGAGGGGGCAGCCAAGGCGTCAGGACTGGCACCAATCCAACCACCTGAATGAAACAGAATCACATGGCCTGGGAGAAGTGTGGTTCCATAAAGCAATGCTGGCGGACCAGAACCATGGGGCATCCCAGCTGATGGAAAGAGTTCATGCACTGAAATACTACTAATTTAACAAGCAGTGATGAGCTGTGGGTATTAACTCACAACGATTGCCTATGGCACATTTGTAAGTGAAAGAAATTTACAAGAGAGTAGGTATAGTAGGATCCGGTATTGATTTGAGTATTAAAAACAGTCCATGGGTTGCCTGGGTGGCTTAGTCAGTTAAGCATCTGACTCTTGATTTAGGCTCAGGTCATGATCTTGGGGTCCTGGGATCGAGCCCCACATCGGGGGGGGGTGTCCGTGCTCAGCAGGGAGTCTGCTTGAGGATTTTCTCTCTCCTCTCCCTCTGCCCCTATCCACTCCCACACATGCTGCCCCCCAAAATAAATGAATAAATCTTTTTTAAAAATCCAGTAATAGTGGTTATTTCGAGGTGATAGATGATCTCTTATTTTTCTTACATCTTTTTCTATTGTCTGAAAAAAGTTTTACACAGAGGATATATTTCTGTTACAATCAGGAAAACCTAAATAAGTTATCATTTGAATAGGGCAAAAGAAAACTTATCTATTGCAGAAGTCTCAACAAGAATCAATGAGGCCAGAACTAGGAAAGGTGTAGAGGAGAGAGAGGGTTGAGAGATTTGGGGAAGCTGACATCCTCAGGGCTGGGTGAGGGCTGAGGGAGGAGCCCAGGCTGGTTTTAGGGTTTCTGCCCTTGGTGATCTGCTGGCGTGGGGATGCCCACCATGGTAGGGCCAGCTGTGGTTAAGGCCAGCAGACCACCTATTAAAATGAATATTTGCACTTTTGGGTGCAAGTGCTTAGGACTTAGTGGTGGAAAGGCAGACCTCAGAGACTCAGGTGCTGAGAGAAGGATCGATTTGACTGAATGAAATTTGTTAATTACATTTGAAATGAGGATGCTATTACTGCTTGGTAGAAATTGCATACACCTCATTTATTAAGTATTTGGTAAGCTCTGTGAGGGCAGAAACATCTTGATGTTGTAATCTCTCAATGCCTAGCATTTAACCTGGTTTTTTAGAAGGAGTGCTCTAAAATGGTTGTGGTTGAATGAATTATTCAAGCCAAACTCCCAGTATTTCTTAAAAGAAGTTATCGCTGTAATCTGCTCAGGAAGCTCATCAAGCTGATTTGTAATCATTTGTAAATAGGTGCTTCCAAAGTGCTTAAAATAATGCTTTTCTTAAAAAAAAAAAATAATAAAGTCCTAAAATATTTTAAAACCACTGTCAATGTTTAGCAAATCCCCTTCTGCTTGTCACATGTAAAATGAATCAGCTTGGCCCCCATATGTGTAGCATAAGTCACTCAAGAAACTGAGGTGATCTTACTACATTTTTTCCTCCTGGGTCTTTCATGTGTATTTTGGTCTACCTTATAATGTTATTTTCCTCTGAAGCATGTTTACCGCTATAGTTCACGGAGCCCAGAAGATAAACTATTTGGACTACAAAGCTGTATGTGAGGATGCTTTAAGGAGCTTGGGCTCTGGGACCAGCTGGTCTGGCTCTTAATCCCAACATTGCCATTTCCTAGCATGTAGACTAGGGTAGTTGAAGTGTCTCCCCCCCCCTCCGCCACCAACCCTGCCCCGAACTTTCTCATCCCTACAAACATGTTGAAAGGTTTATGAAGATAAAATCAAATAGTCACTATAAAGCATTTAGCATAGAACTCCACACATAGAACTCAAATATTAGCCATTTTAAAACAATCATATTTGTTGATCTCCTGGGATGGAGTGATTTCCAAATGTGCAGCATTTCCTGTGTCCCATTTATGGTGAAATTTCTAAAGTTCACCTTGACATGTGAATACCTTCTCTTTGACAACCTCCCAACACAAATAAACTCTCTGTTCCTGTCCTCAGAGAAAAAGAGACAGCTTGGGCTGCAGTTAGATCTCCACAGAAAGGTCCTTTTGGATAGCATCAGCCTCTCTTTGTGACTTTTGACTTACTATAAATGATATTAGGAGTACATGTGTTGAGTCCAGGGCCCTCGGGGACGATGTCACCAGGCAGGTACCCAGCTGCTGGCCAGCTCCTTGGAAGGAAGCTACCCCAGGGCCTGTGGTCACTTCCAAATCACCTGTGGGGCAGCTTGCAGCTGAGTGACCCCTCCTGGCACCCCTGTCCCGCGTCCCGTGACAGGTTCAGCGTCCCCTGGGAAGACACACGAAGGATGTGACCCATGCCGGTGAAGGGTGACGGTGTGGGATTTCTCCTCCGGTCATCCACGGTCCTTACCGGCGCTCTCAGGTTGCCCATCCCCCACCTAACACCTCCAGACCAGAGAGGGGTGGAAATAAAGGGTTTTCGTGAAAACCCAGGAGAAGAGCAGGTGTTTGTGATTGTTTGTGCAGTGTCAAAATTGATTTAGTGCCAAATTACAGTCCTAAAGCAGCGAAGGCCCACCACTTCTCACAAGGTGTTTGACTAGATCATGTTCTCCCTCTCCCTCTTCACTGTCCAAGCTCGAGCTCCGGGAATCTTTGACACAAAAATCCATGCATATAGGAGTCTTTTCTTTGGGGGCTTTGGTGACTTTACTTTTGACTCTACCTTAGTATATTGCATTTTCCCCACCTGTGACGTTGTTTTAGGTGGTCGAGCCAAATTTCACCTTTCTAGAGAAGTGCTCGTCTAGGGACTAGATAACTGAATTTCAGAAACCAGTATCTAAAGTATGGAGATTTAGTCACCACATAACATTTTCTGAAGATAATAAAAATTAAAAAAAAACAAAAACCACGGTCTCAAAGTGTCAGGTTCTATTTCAGAATTTTCACGGTTAACCCAGAGTTTTGCAAAGAGCTATTTTAAGCTGCCTCATTGACATTGCAAATGCAGAGGGGCTCTCTTCCCCTCCCTCATCCTCCTCCAAAGCCCCTCACCACCAGCTTCTCAAAAAGAAAGGAAAAGCAACCCATTGCCCCTTGTTGGCAGTAGAATTTATTCACCAGTTTACTTTCCAGCCAACTGCAGCCATTGCCTCTGGGCACTTGTTCAAAAACGCAGAAATGAAATAACAGATTGGCCAGGCCGAACACAGCTCCCCAGTCGTAACCCTATTATCTCCTCATTCTGTCACCCCCATTAGGCAGAAGCCTGGGAGACTGGATGATGATAACACAGTGTTTATGTGGCTTGTTCATGTCCACAGTTCGCGGCTTTCCGCTGGTGGTGTTCCCGCGTTCGTCTGTGAGCGGGGCGGAGGAGAGCGAGGCCCGGGGCTTCAGGCTCCTAGGCCTTTCCACAGGCCTACCCCTGCCCATCTTTAAGGGCCCCCGTGCAGGCCTCCTGCCTGGGGAAGAGCTCCTGCGTCCTGAGAAAGCCAAAGCAAGACCAGGAACCACCTTGCTCCGCGTGCTTACCACCTACCTGTGAAGGAGTACAGTTGAAGCCACATGTGTGGACTTTTCTGAATATCAAGTATCTCTCCATTTAGGCTATTTATAGCTTCTCTACTCAGGGCAGAGTCAAGCAGCGCAGTTGCTTTATTTAATATTGTGGGGCCTCTGCAGGGTCATCTGAAAAACACATTTCTCCGGACGGAATGAATGTGTAGCAGAGGGCGGTCTCTGTTTCAACTACAGAAGATTGTTTCCTGATTATTGCCCTCTTTGTGAAATTCCTCTTAAAATTATAGGCACAAGAAAGAAATGTTTGGGGGGGATATGGGGTTACTTCCCCCCACCCCTTGACCAACTATTAAAATAGAGAAGTTTTAGAACTCACATGATGAGCGATCCGGAGGAAAATGCCTTTCTCTTCTCGAATAGTCTTTTCTATAGACTAGACACTGCTCCTTGGGGTGGGTGGCTTCTTGGGATGGCTCACATCCCAGTGAGTTTCACCTTTCGTTCTGTCTTCATTCCCTCCATCTGTTCAGTGTAGCTCCATAATTATCTCTCTCATTAGTGAGTAATTCTTAGGGGAGGTGCGGCGTCAGGGTGATGCTGACTGGTTTTGCCCCCAAATTCCCCTTTCCCTGGCTGGCATCGGGCTGGATGATGTGGGCTGCCAACAGCGGCCTCACCCCCCATGAGAACCCTTGATTCAGCCCTGCTCTGGGTTTTACTGGTCACACCTGGAAGGCAGCATGCCTGTCAGGAGACAGTGGCCTTGTGCTGAGCAAACAGGAGGGCAGAGAACACACAGCAGAATGCTTTTTGGACAGATGCATTTTACTGGGTGGGGGGGCGGGGGAAGGGCAGGTTGTCCTTCAGCATTTGATTCAGGTTAATCCATCCTGGAGACAATTCTCATGTGAAGGTTCTGCTGGGAGTATGTGGGAGTAGGCAGTCCCCTGCCTCCCCCTCCCCAGGTAAGAAAGAACAGGGTAAAATGAACACATTTAATTATGTGCATGATGGCTTATATCAAACTCGTAATCATTTCTTCTTGCCGATGAAATCCTAACTACCCTGTCCTTTCCTTTCCGCATCAGCTCATACCCCAGACAACAGCTTTCTGGGATTTGTGGTCGAGCAGCACCTCAACTCCAGCGACATCCACCACATTAACGAAATCAAAAGGCAGAACCAGTCCCTTGTGTATGGCAAAGTGGATAGCTTCTGGAAGGTGAGTCAGTCTGTGTGCGCGTCGCTCTCTCAGAAATGAAGCTTGTTGGGTAATTTAATTTAACTTTGATCCAGGGAGTAATCAAGCCAAGTGCCCAGGGCTTAATGGGATCTGCTTAGAAGTAAACAAGACTGTGCTGGGATTTGGTCGTTCAGCATTTGGCTATCTAATAAAGGCTGTCCCTGCTCGTTCACAAGTGGCTACCTAGCAAAGCCCTCTGCTCTTTGCTGGGAGTGGCACGTTACAGCTTCTTGCACGTCCTGTACTTGCTTCTGAAAGCTAGGGCCCCACGGGAGCGGATATCTTTCTGGAGCAGGCATTGCACAGAGAGCCCTTTACAGGCCTTTACAGCATTGCACAGAGAGCATAGGGCAGCTCTAGATGCGTTCCTGGGGAGCCTTTAGCTGCGGTCAGCAGCCCCCCACTGGTCAGGGCTGAACTATCCGTGAAATGAAAACACCCGCCAGGGCTGACTGCAGGCACTTTGTCACTTTGTTCTGGGAGATCTGGGACTACACAACATTCTTGGCCACAGCCTGAGACAGGTTTCCCAAAAGCGTTGGACCTTGGGGCCTCCCGGATGATTTCCACAGTCCGTCTGGGGGAGGTACAGTGGGAGAGGAGCCTGACTGGAGTGTGACCTGTTGCTCTGACCTCCAAACCTTTTTATACGGGAAGTCCACCTTTGTGTGCCAGTGCCATCATTTTGATTGAGGCCATGTTTACACAGGACACAGTAGTCTCCAGGACTTCAAAACATGCCTCTTCCGAAACATAAAAGTTATCACTTTCCAGAATGATCAGGTACTGGGGTCTCATGTTGTTACGTCTCCTTTATTAAGGAGGTTAGAAATCCAAGCACTGAGTGAGCGCAAGTGATGCACAGGGCACAGAATCCCTGCTGTTGGTTTTCTGACCCCATGTTCAGAAGAAGAAAAGCCGTGCTGCCCTCTCTTTACTTCTACAGCGCAAAGGATGCCGGAGGGACAATTAAATCGGCCTATTTCCAGGGAAGCTGATTTAATTCCAGATAGTTGTCTTCGCTATAAACAGCTAGGATTTTCTCTTAGTTTAGTACGGTGATTCTCAGCGGAGGACAGTTTCACCCCCAGGGGGCACTCGGCAATGTCTGGAGACAGTTTGGGTTTTGCCACGACGGAGGGAGTTGCCTTCGGATTCTAGTGGGTAGAGGTCAGGGATGCTGCTGACAGGACAGCCCCACAACAGAGGATTACCTGGCACAAAATATGAGCAGTGCCGAGGTTGAGAGACCTCAGCTGGTAAATAAGATTGATTCCTATGTGTATTATTTCGCATTTTCTTCTCCTGAGGGAAATAAAATCAGTCAAGACTCTAGGTGGTTATTTAACATGTTCCCATAAATTGACACACCTCAGCTTCCTTTGCATCAAAACCTGCCCTGTGTTAACAGAGCATCTTTCAGCTGACTTTCAGCCACACAGGCTCACAAGGACGTGTTGGGTGTTCTCGTTCTCAGCTCAGTTGTGAAGTAAATGAATCACAGCACTGGTTTTAGGAAGACATGGGCTCTTTAAAAAAAAAAAAAAAAAAAGCCTCACTCCTGCGTCTCCTCCACACCTGCTCAAAGAAAATAGTTTGCATGTCTGTGTGGACTTGACCTTGCAATTATATCCCTTCTGTTTTGGAACCAAGTGCAGCTTCCTTTTAGGTGCCTCTGGCAGTTATTCAGTCTCCCTAGAAAAACAAAATAATAAATTGGTTCTGAAACCTTCTTGGTCACTCTTTTTTTTTTTTTTTGGATAAAGTAATACCACCACTAAAAGAATGATTTTCTTGATGCCAGTCAGAATCCCAGAAGAGTTAGTTGTGCTGGCCCAAGTGATTTATGGCATGACTTAAAGTCCCTCTACAACTCCACAGATGACCCAACCTTCCTCTCACTGTGCATAATCCAGGTATTAAAAAAGGCTGAGTGGCAGCATGTCCACATTAGTCTTTTTTCCAAATACCCCAAATCTAGAGTGTTCAGTTTTCTGTATCATCATTGCTCAGTATTCTTGGATGAGAAAGGCCCTCAAAAGTGCAAAATTCTGTGAAGTTTTTACACAGATGCAGGACATGTCAAACTTGTCAACACGGTACAGGATGTGAGAATTGTTACTTGTAACAGAGCCTCCCCGTGCCCACAGTGTCCGGTGAACGCGCACAGAAGACAGGGGTGCAGGAAGGGGATGCCTCTATGCCCATATTCCCAGAATGGAATCAGCAACTTAAGCCAGGGGCAAGTTGTATATATTGTTTTTCCTATCCCTTGCCCCATTGTCTCCCCACCCAATCTCCTGTGCCTCTGACCTCTTTGGAAAGGGGGGGGTGACACCGTCCATCCCGGGGGGTTGAGGAATTTAGTGGGGACGTGTGGGCAGGCACAGGATTGTTGCTGACCATCTGTGGAGCTCCTCCTTCTCCCTCAAATTCTAGAACTCATTGAAATCCTGAAGATACTTGCTGTGCTATCAATCCTCTCCTATGTCCTCCCCTCTTCTGAGGAACTCTCCCCAGCTGCTGGGGCACTTGAGTGGGAGATGCCACCACATGCCCCCTCCACCCTTGGCTGATTGGTTCAGAGGGCTGTCCTCTGACCCAGGGCAGTCCAGCTCATTGGTGGTTGGCAGCCATGATTCTGGCTCAGAAAGCCACACGGGAATCAATGAGATTCTTCACTTGGCATTGGAAAACAGAGGGACAGAGCCGTGGGGATGGAAATCAAAAGGACACGCCCAGAGTTGTGATGAGGCCAAGGCAGAAGCTTCCTAGGAGTGCAGGGATAAGGAAGTAGGACAAATTTGGAAAGGGAGAGGCTGCTGTTGAGAGGATGATGGAGTAGAACCGCAGGGAGGAGAGGTGCCCCCAGAGAGGTGGGATGCTCTGGAGGAGCCAGGTAGGAAGGACAGACAGAAGCAACCCATACAGGAGGGCACCTGGGTGGCTCAGTCCATTGAGTGTCTGCCTTCGGCTCAGGTCATGATCCCAGGGTCCTGGGATGGAGCCCCGTGTTGGGCTCCCTGCTCAGCGGGGGGCCTGCTTCTCCCTCTCCTCCCCACTCGCTCTTTTTTTTTTTTTTTAATTTTATTTATTTATTTGAGAGAGAGAATGAGATAGAGAGAGCATGAGAGGGGGGAGGGTCAGAGGGCGAAGCAGGCTCCCCGCTGAGCAGGGAGCCCGATGCGGGACTCAATCCCGGGACTCCAGGATCATGACCTGAGCTGAAGGCAGTGGCTTAACCAACTGAGCTACCCAGGCGCCCTCCCCACTCGCTCTTGATCTCTGTTGCTATCTCTGTCTGTCTCTGTCTCTCTCGGATAAATAAAAAATCTTAAAAAAAAACATGCAATGTGGAGAGAAAGAGAAATTAGGGGCCAGAGTTCCGCAAAGTTTCTTTTTTGTAGACCATACATCCTTTTATCACACTCTGTTTGCTTGCAGTATCCTGAATGGTTTCTGTTCCTCGTGGTCCTGTCTTCCCTACACTGCAGATGCCTATCAGGAAATATGATCTGTTAAAAGTAGAGGCTAAGGGTGCCTGGGTGGCTCAGTTGGTTAAGCGACTGCCTTCAGCTCAGGTCATGATCCCGGAGTCCTGGGATCGAGTCCCACATCAGGCTCCCAGCTCAGCGGGGAGCCTGCTTCTCCATCTGACCCTCTCCCCTCTCATGCTGTTTCTCTCTCTCTCTCTCAAATAAATAAATAAATAAATAAATAAATAAATAAATAAAATCTTTAAAAAAAAAAAAGTAGAGGCTAAGAAGGAATGGGCTACGTCTTCAGCTCCCCTTATTTCCGCTCCCATTTCATGGCAGAGGTACCCTGTGGTCTTGTCCTGCTCTTTTGGTATGTAGTGGAGATGTGGGAGGGGACCTTGCTGCCAGAATCCCAAAGGCACCAACTTAGGAAGCATCACTGTCAGAGACTCTTACATCAGACTGCTTACAGCCTAATCCCAAGCACAGAGGTCTGCGTTAGCGCAGAAACCTGTGGCGCTGGGTTCTGGGTATCTGCCTCTGGGGCAGTCTGATCATTGCATCCACTAACACATGCTTACAAGAAAAGTCTATCTAGTGTGGCTGAATTCAAAACCCCTCCACATCCTATTAAAATGAAAAATTAGTCGATTTTGTAAAAATAAGACATTTAAAAATTGTGGAAATGAAAAGTAATTGAAGTGTGGCTTACCTGTATTATTTATTTCCATACCTCTTTAAAAACAGTATCCAGAGCGTAACTGAATCTTGTATGGATGATGCAGGGTCCACCTTTTATGTATATGTGATCCCACTGTGAAGTCCTCATTACTTACTGATGCATGATTGCTGTGAAAGTAAATGTCTTGAAGGTCTTGCTTTGAGCACCTCTGGGGCATAAGCATAGCCTCTGAACGACATGCTGGGGTTCAGACCCACACCTGCCAGTTCACCCGCGTGTGAGGTACTTAACTGCTTTGAGCCTCAGGCTCCTGGCCTGTGAAATGGGAGCAGTGACAGCAACCCCAAGGGCAGGGCTTCTCGGACTTACTATTGCATGTGAATCGCCCATCATGTTGTAAAAATGCTGATTCCGATGCGGACCTTCTGGGCTGGGGCGGAGACCCTGCATTTCGCACAGGCACCCGGGGGTTGCCGATGTGCTTTTGACGAAAGTGCGCTGCAGGTAGCGTTCCCTTGGTGGGTTTGGGATGGCGCGAGGAGCTTGGCACTGACTCCCTGGCCAACCAGTGAATGCATCATTCCTTTTGCCCCTTTACTTTTGCTTTCCTGCTCCGCTTGTCAGGCTGCCAGCTATCATGTTTTCACTACTGTTGAGCCTGATTCTAGTGACTGCCCCCCCCCGCCCCGCCCAGTCTCTCACTTCCCACTAAGCCCATTTGCGGCCCTTGCTGTTCCAGTCTCTGTGCCTAGCCTCTGAGAATGGGGTAAACCTGTGGTAAGTGGTGGACTCTGGGAGCTGACAGGTGTGGTCTCTTC